CGCTTAGCCTCCTCATGGATCTCCATGACTTGCTTCTCGGAGTCTTCGTAGAATTTACGGATCGGGGCAGGGGCAGCATCAACCGCCTTCTCAAAGTACCGTCGAAGGAGGTTGTAGCCGCTATTTGCCTTCTCAGTGAGGTGGTACTGTTCTTCCGCAGCCTTTGCCCGCTCGGTTGCATGCACCTTTGCGTCGATGGTGCTGTAGGCGTTCTGGAGGATGTTGGTGAAGCGCTGGGTGATGTTTTGCTTCTTGTCGACTTCGATGGCCCTCTGGAGTGTAGCATCGGCAATCTCGTAGCCGTGGCTCAGGTATTCGGCGAAGATGGCAGCGCGGGGCTTGTGTTCCTGTGGGATCTCGCCATTGGGACCGACATTGCCGTTATCAGTGACGTGGGAGCCAGCAATGTCTTCAAGTGTGTGAGCGGCCGTAACTTCGAGTGGTTGGTTGTGAAGTGGGGTGCCGTCGAGGAGAACGGCAGTCTTTGCCGCTGACTGACGCTCGAAGGTGATGGAGGCGGATTTCGGGGAGGTGGCGTTAGGACCAGGGGTGAGGGTGAGGTTGATGATTTTACCGCAGAAGCTGAAGAAGCTGGTGAGATCCGACTCGCTGGTGGACGGGGCGATGTTGGAGATGTGGACAGTTGCGGGTTCACCCATTGTTGTTGTGCAGGTGTTAAAAGTTGGTGATGGAGGAGCTGTGTATGGTTCTGGAGTCTGATGGGTTCTGGACGACAGGAATGGGATGCGAGATGTTGAAAATAAAAAGGGACTGGGCACGCGGCTGTAGTTAAATAGCGGAGAGGAAGGAACGGTGGGACGATGTGAGGAGAGCTTGCTTCTGAAGAAGGAGGGGCAACTCGGAGGGGTTGCGTCATGGGTGTGGCGCGTGTGGCGCGTGTGGCGGTGCTAACCTTGGTTGCATGTGAACGGCATCACCAAAACCACGCACACGCCCTCAAAGTCGGCACTATCACATTTCGTTGAGTCTATGCGGACGACACGACGCCTATAACGAACCATCTAGAACCCCCTGATATGAGGCGGTATCTTGCGTGTATGCGCGGATGCTGGCATGTTTTGTTGGGCGGCGGTGTTGAATCGTTCCGACGAGAACAGAGAGGCTTTTATTCTGGGAAACGCCTGCCTGGAAGGTCCACGCAAACATGTGGCTTTGTCCTCCTCTGACTGAAGAACCGAATTCAAGACATCAGATCGTTCATTGAACAGCAGGGCAGATCCCGATGTCAAGCCCGAAGACCCTGCATCACATTTATATTGAAGGGATGATCATGGATGCCATTCATATTATTTCGCTTGGACAAAAATACTAATCATAATCAGAAACCCAAACTCCCCTTTACAACTTCGCACTCGCAGCCGCACCCTTATCACTCTTCGGCAACGCGCTCACCAACTTCTCCGTCTGCTCCCTGATCCTCTTCCCAAGCTCGGGATTCACCTTATCAAACATTCCGTACGTCTTCTCCCTGACCTCCTTCCTGGCACCCATCAAATGCCCACTCACATTGCTTACAAAGTTATCCTGCTGGCCCGGCTGGCGTCCCAACACACCCCAGAGTGCATTGGCCTGGACGTAATCACCATCGTCGACACGGAAAGCAAAGTTAGTTGCCGATCCAACCCACTTCTCGTGCCTCTCATGTGGCCGGACGTCCTTGTAGGTGATAGGGCGGAATGAGGACTGGTAGTTTGGTTCGGCGCCATAGTTTCCATTGACGACCATTGCGCCATCGCGCTGGAAGGGGTTGAAAGCGCGGAGCGGGCAGTTGGCGGGGATTTGCTGGTAGTTGACGCCGAGACGGTGGCGGTGGGTATCCGGGTAGGAAAAGAGACGGGATTGGAGGACGGGATCGGCGGAGGGCTCCCAACCTGGGACAACGTGGGATGGGGAGAATGCGGCTTGCTCAATTTCCGCAAAGTAGTTTTGAGGGTTGGTGTTGAGAGTCATCTTGCCGAAGCGGCGGAGGGGGAATTCTTTTTGCGGCCAGACTTTGGTCAGATCGAAGATGGAAAAGGGGAGATTTTCGGCTTGCTCAGGCGTCATAACCTGGGCGTAGACGGTCCAAGAGGGATATTCGCCCTTTTCGATGGAGGTGAAGAGGTCTTCCGTTGCGTGATCGGGATTGGACGAGGCAAGGGAGACGGCTTCGTCGTTGTTGAGAGTTTTGCTGCCCTGATCGGTCTTGAGGTGGATCTGGACGTAGTGGAAGGAGCCATCTGGCTTGGTGAACTTGTAGACATGTCCGGAGTAGCCGTTCATGTGGCGGTAGCTGTAAGGAGTGCCGCGGTCGGAGAAAAGGTGCATCACCTGGTGAATAGCCTCCTGATTGTTGGAGAGGTAGTCCCAAAACATTGTGGCATCCTTGAGGCTACAAGTCGTTAGCACCGCTCCTCCCAATTAGAGTGTCCGAAAACATACTTAGTCTGCGGGTGCCTCTTCTGGGTATGGATGAAAACGGGGAACTTTGACGGATCTCTCAAAAAGAAAATCGGAGTGTTATTGAAGACCCAATCAAGATTTCCCTCTTCAGTATAAAACTTGACCGCAAATCCTCTCGGATCGCGGGCAGAGTCTGGGCTTCCCTTCTCACCGCCAACTGTCGAGAAACGGGCCAAGCACTTTGTCTTCTTGCCAACCTTTGAGAACATGTCCGCAGACGTCAGGTCAGAGATGTCGTCTGTGACCTCGAACTCGCCATACGCTCCTGCGCCCTTGGCGTGTACCACACGCTCCGGAATGCGCTCGCGGTCAAAGTGGGCGAGGAGATCAATCAAGTGGAAGTCCTGGAGGAGCAGAGGGCCGCTTGTACCAACCCGCTGGGATGCCTGCGGGTTGAAAACGGGGCAGCCATTGCTGGTGGTATAAACGGGAGGACCAGAGGGCTTGTTTCCGACCATTTTGGATGTGATGTGGCGAAGGAGATGGGGTTGTTGGTGTTTGTCGGTGGTGGACAGACGAGTTAACGACTGAGCGAGGGCCAGGAGTGGTTGAGGAGTACTATAGAAGCGGAGAGGAAGCAAGGGAGTGCGCACGGATGCTGGGGAGCAGTGTTGACTTTATACCAGAGCTCTGTTCTCCACTTGCCTGCCTCCTCGCCTTACTGTGTGCCCTTGTCATCCATCCTTCTTCTCCTCGTCCTCTTCGTCGAGGCAGGAGCTCCGATCTCAAGCAGCTGCACCCCGCTAGCCCCACATGCCCCTCTAAGGAACTTGATCGCTCGCTTACACCAATCCGCCACTCACAGAAGCGCATTTCCAACCACCATGAAGGCGAGTTGTGTGGGTGAGAGAGCAGTTGGCTGACCTGCCCGACATGGTGATGCAATACATGTTCGCTTCGATGACACGAAGCGGTGATGGAACAGCGTGGACTCAATCTTCCGAGGAGACGACACTGGGATGATGATGGCCGTGACAACGGTTCCTACGTAAGAAGTGTTGTGCGAAACTGGCCGGCGGGCACAAGCGGGGATGGGATCCGCCCGCTGTGAACCCGCCGTCGGAGCCTGCCGCTGTCCGCCACGGTGAGAGGGCATGAAATGTCACTCGGAGTCTAGATTCAACCGTGAGGTAAGCATGATCGCCAGTGGAGTGGCTGTTTTGGACCTTATGATTTATGCCGTTGTTGAATTGACATTGGGTCATTGGTTATGCAGAATAGGCATGAAGAGAAGACCTTTCATGGCATCAACAATGGGCGAGAGTATTGTCCAGAGAGCTATACGCAGCTTGTCCTTATCAAATGAAGTAACCGTCACAGTCAATAGAAGCATGCCCCCCTTCAGGGCCCACGGCCTTGAGGCCATATCTATCAGTTTCCCGGCCCAATGCTCTGTGTTTTCCTTCATGCTCGCGCACGCCGATACAAATTTTCCACTACCGTCCAAAAGAATCCCCTCTTAACTGTATGCTTCTACAAGTCACAATTCCCAAACGATCTAGCAGTTGTTTGAGCTGAACTACGGAGACGCTTCGATCTGCCTGTCTAGAACCCTGCACCATTGATCACTCGGGCAGGCTCCGATAAACCAACTCGCCCGATTCCCCCTTAGACGCTCAATACACCCAAAAGCGACGTTCCAAGCTACCTGAACCTAGTCTCTTAATCAATATTGCCTAGGTTCCCAAACTTCATATACCGTCACACATCGAGTGCGCCCACATGATCATCCTTGCTCACCACCGTATCCCTGCACCGCCAAGGACCACCACATCAAATTCCTTCAGTCCGCCTTTCTCTAACCATCTCTCTCTCCTCTCTCCATTTCCGCTCTGTTCGTCAGACTGCCATACTAGCGAGCATGCCTCTCTTCTTTACTCCGCTCATCTACCCTGCTACCTATCATGGCTCAGGATACATTTCGACTTGACATCGCGGCATTCCATCTGTGCCCGCTGGGTTTTGCTCATTTTTTTTCTTCATGCTTTGCAGAGACTTCGCTCACAACAGATCTTGAGAACTTCACAACGGGAACTCTGCACGGAACGACCGCTATAGCCACGACACACCCTCGCCGCCTCTATTTACCGACGTTACCTACTACTGTACTCCGCTCTGCCAGTTTCGCTAACCCCTCTCGCCCTCGTTACTGCTTCCTCCATCTCGCGGCGAAAAAGTCAATTATCTACGAGATTACAAGAATGATAATCGGAAAAAAATAGCTCCAGTGGGACTAAACCCCGCGTCTCCAACTCATACATCTGCCTCCCCCCGGAGCAGCAACTCGTACAACGGCGTGCAACCGACTACACCATGGGACCTTGGATGAAATTCACAGAAGGAAAATTGCTTTTATTCGTTTAGAGAGTATCGCTGTTATCGCTCCGACGCCGACCATCACCCGCCGCTGCCGTCTGTTTATTCAGCTTTCGCCCAGCCCGACTTTCAACCCTTGTGGTCCAGTCCCACAGTTGCAGCGAAAAGACCCCCGTTTTGGAGGCGAAAGGAAAAAAGGGAAAAGGGATAAGGCAAAAAGATAGCTCCGGCGGGGATCGAACCCGCGCCTCCTTACTCATACAACCGTCCCATCCGTATTCATACACTGGTGTGCTACCGACTACACCACGGAGCCTTGAGTGGAGGAGGGCTTCGGAAAACGGTGATAACGTGAAGCTGACAGCGCACTCGGTTGCATCTCAGTGCAGTTGATTCGGGTCTGGTGGAGGTTTTGTTGGGACGCCCGTTGCGACGCGCACTTTCGCTGCCCTGCCACAGCCGTCTCTGTAGCTTTTGAGGTGTAATAAATGGTTGCTTTATCCAATGCATGACCGTGCTTATGGTGTTGTGTTCATCGTCAGCACTCGACTTCTCGTGATAGTTGTATCGCCGCGTACAACCTGTCACTCACCACATAAACTCAACATGGGGCTACTGTTTCAAGCTGTCCATTTAAATCCGTCAGATCCTGGCCAGATCACCAATTTCGCACTAACCGACCAACCAACTGTGCTCATCGCTTCGTCGTCTACCATGCACACTAATTACCAGAATCTAAGTGCTTCAAGGTTAAAATAAAATAAAATTGCATACTGAGATCTAGCGAAAGCATGAGTGCCAGGATTCCACAAAATATCGTAGACTTGCTTGAAGCCTGATTAACACTGTATCATCATGATTCATGCAATCACAAGGTAGAAGGAATATTCTAGAGCTCAAGAAGTTTCATTTGATACCACATACAAGGCCTTCAGAGTGGTGGTGTGGGCATGGTGAACGAGTTGTGGTGAGGTGCGGTGGTTGCAGCGCGTACAACTAGTATTCTACAGTACTATACCTAGTTAGAGGCCGGGTACGGGGAGTGGAGGGCGGAAGGTGTGTCTCTATCTAGTTGACGCCGAGTATGGTATGGGAGGCGGAGGCGAGGGGTATGTGGATGGAGGGATGGAGGAATGGAAGAAGGGAAGAGTAATACTGGTAGAATACAGTATGCTATGCTACAGGCACTATAGATTGTCACCTTCATTGGTGAGATTGCCCGAGTGTGTATGTATGCTACCATCAACACCATTGACACCACTATCAACACCATTCAATATCAACTACCCACGCCGAAACCCAAATGATGCGATGTAGTTGCAACAACACAAGAAACGAAAAGACACACATCACCACTTCCCCTCCCCCTCTCCCAAGAACGAAGAAATCACACTCTCACGGCCCCCCTCCACTCCAAATACCTCTTTGGCAGCGGCGGGGGCTCCCTCTTCCCTCCAGTCCCCTTGTTCTCCCCATCTCCATCCTCGTGATTGTCGTCAGCACCCCAACTACCCCCGTCCACGCCCTCCGATTCTACGGCCTCCGCTTCCTCGCCCTCCACCTCCGCGATCACCGTTTCCCGGCCTTCATCGTCAACGTCGATGATACGGATTGTCGGGTTCTCTGCGGCGCCTTCATCGTTCTCGTTCTCGCTCCCCCGATCTCGGTGTTCTGTGGGGTTTACTCGACGGTGGGTTGATGATGCCGACGACGACGATGGGGGCGTGGAAGATGATGACGGAAGGGGGTCGTATGGAGGAGGAGAATCAGCACGGGATGGTACTGTGGACTGAGGAGGAGGAGGAGGAGGAGGAGGAGGAGGAGGAGGAGTGTGGGTTGGTGGGGGTGTGGGAATACCCTCGATCAGTTCGGCGCGACGGTACCATTTGCGGCGGCGGGTGTATTTGCCCCAGCCGTCGAGGCCGCGACGGCCGTCTTTCCACTGGATGGGGGTTAGCTTCATCCAGACACTACAAGCGCAGATGAAGATGAAAAGGAAGAGGACAAGGGGAAGAGAGACTCGTACCTTATTATCATAATACCACCACCCCTCTCCGTCCCCTCCCGGGCCTCCCAACCGATCCTTCACCTCCTGCCCGGCAACCATCGCCACCCTCCTCACCTTCCTCTCCTTCTCCCTCGCATCCACCTTCCCGTCGACCCTCCACTCCTCACCCAGCACCCACCTCCATCGCACACCACTATTCTCGGGCGTCTCGGGCAACGTAAACTCCTCCGGCGGCGGGCAGGGGTTAAGGTGTTCATCGGTCCAACACGCTCTCTCGCCGGGGAGCATCATGGCCGTCCACCCTATCCCCAGCCAGCGGCGCTGGTTCTCGTAGATGATGAAGGTGAATTTGACCCCGGGAGAGGCTTGCGCTGTGTTGAGCATTGCGGTGTGGGATTTCGAGGTGTTTCCGGGAGTAGAAGATAATGTTGTTGTTGATGCTATACTGGCTGATGAGGGGACTCGTGGGGGGAGAGGAGGCGGGGGAGCAGCGGGGGTAAGGTGCAGGCCCGTGATGGATTCGACAATGTTGCGGAGGGTTGTGGACCGCCAGAGTAACGTGCGGGTTACCTTTGCTGGGCGGGAGTGCCAGGAGAGTACGATAGTTCCCGCGAGGAGCACGACGCGGCGTGTAGTGAGGACATGTAACGGCCAGACCGCCAGCGCGAGCCAGATCGGTGTAATCATAAGGATGCGGACAAAGAGGGTTGTCAACGCCGGGCGGGTCGTAGCTCTAGTCGGACTCTTCTCACTTCCCAGAATGGTGACGAGGGTGATGAACGGAGCAGCAAAAATATCCACTCTCGCGTTAAGCGTGGACAGCTCCTCGAGAATGCCATCAAGAGTGATGGCCTTTTCAATCGCTGCTCTATCCCGCCCATCCCAGAACCGCCGCAAAAACATCATGATAATGATGATGACCACGGCGACAATGTTGCCAGTCCAGCGGATCGCAATGTCGCCGTAGAGGGTCGTGAACCAGAAGGCGGCGACGAGGAGGAAGGATTCCCACGGGTCTTTGCTGGTCCATGTTATCAGGCCCAAGGCAAAGTTGGCTGCCTCAATCCATGGGTAGGCTTTCGAGAGGGCTTGTGTGATTCGGGGCGGGGTTGCGGCGAGGAGAGGAGACTTTTGATGCACCTGGAAGGTGGAGCGGCGCGCGGGCGAGGAGGATGATGGGGCAAAGGCGGCGATGGTGGGGGGGTTTGGGTCTGCGGGGATAGGGTTGCCGTTGGCGTCGGTGGGTTTGGAGTCGGGCATGCTCCAGGGACCGTCTGGGGGAGCCGCGGGGCGGGGTCAGCGGTGGTGGCAATGTGAGGTAGCGTGAGGTAGCGTGAGGTAGCGTGAGGTTGTGGTTGTGGTGGGAAGAGGAGTTTGGGGGGGAGGCGGGGGGGAGGCGGGGGAGAGAGAGGGAGAGAGAAGGTACCAAAGGCTGCCATGCATGAAGCTTGGGGGAGAGGCGGTGACGTGAGGGCTGCTAGTAGAGAAGGTAGGGCGAGATGGCCGGCGGCTGAGGGCGTGAGGCTACACGCGTTGCACGGGGTTGGTGGGACACGGACGGGGACTGTGAAACAGGTGGTGATGAAGCAGAGAACAAGGAGGAGGGAGGGAACACGGCGAGAGGACAGTGACGGGTGAAGGGAGTGAAAGAAAGAAAGCGAGAGGAAATGATCGTGTCAGTCGTGTCTCTCTCCACCACGCCGTGTCTCCCGTCATGCTCGACTCGATTCCATGCGAGGGACCGTCACGCATGTGATAGAGCCAGTCTTCACATCCTGTCAAACACAGAAACATATTCATGATCACTTTCATTGTCCTCCATTCATCCTGTGACAATCCATAAAACAACCGCCCTATATCAACCGCGCAAACAAACCATCAAGAGCCCGCTCAGCGAACCCCACCAGCGCGCCACAGTTACAAGAACAAAAATCTCACCAACATGTCAATCATCACACCGAACCGTAAAACTCCATCCCAATCCCCCCAATCCGCCAAAGGTACTAACATACGCCAAACCAATCCACATATCTCATCGAAGAAACAATAAATATAAAACATAAATCTGTGGTCTTCACCATCGTACGAAAGAAAGTACAACGAATTTAGGGGTATCTAATCGAAAAGTGTGTACCAGACGAAGAAAGGTATATCCAAGAAACACAAGAATCTTCAGCAGTAAAGAGCGGCCACAGCACACCACAGCATTCAAATCAAATCAAATTCGGATGCAACGCCTGCGGCACCGGCGTCCCAATCACCCTCTTATTAATCTTCGGCATCGCCTCATGGTGGTACTCCATATCCACGACTCTCCCACGTTGACTCAACCCACCGCCATCGCTAATCGACTTCCTCAATCTGCTCGTCAAGCCTTTCCGCGGTTTCTCGTCGTCTTCATCGCTCCTAGTTGAGCTCGATGGCGGCCGATCGTCCTTCCTCCCAAGACTCGCAAAGATGTCGGCGCGAGTTCTGCGGCGAGTGCCGCCTGCAGACATTGGCGCTGAGAATGGGTGGCCGCCGAGAGCGCCGCCGTTAGGGAGATCGATGGTTGGGATAGATAATGCTTTGGTCATCAGCTTGGGTTGCGAGATTTGATCCTTCTTCACGACACGTTTCTTGGGAGGCTGGTACTGCGCGTTCACTTGTTTAATCGTTTGCGCGACAACGCGAGCATCAACCTGCTTGGCCGGGGCAGCCTGCTTGGGAGACAGAGAAACCGGGTCCACGGTATTGGTGGCAGATTCCACAGGCGAGCTTCGTCCGGTTCCTGGGGGCGGTGCCTGATTTATTGAGCCATCACTATTATTCCGCAAGCGCCCGTAGCTTCCTCCTGAAGACTGCGACTGGCGGTCAAAATCTTGCGGGGGGCTTTGATGTATGCTGAACCCATTCATTCTGGGCTCTTCGGAAAGCCGTGGTGGGCTCCTCATCCGTTGCGCACTGTCGTTGGGGAAATACCCATCACGCGGAGGATGGTGAGAACGGTTTGTATCCGACTCGGAGTCCGGTCCAGAAGAAAGAGGCGTCCCTGGATAGCTGCGACCAGCGAATCCAGACCGAGGCGAGTCAGCCGGCGTCTCGCTCCAGCCCGGGGAGAGACCACCTGGAGAGATACCTCCAGGTGTCAAACCGCCCGGAGTCAGTCCTCCATGTGGAGTATTATACCCAGAGTTCATATGTTCATTTGAAGGTTGCTGGCGCATCCGAGGAGTATACATTGGCGAGTGTTTTGGATGCGGAAGACCAGGCGACGAGTCCGGCCGGAGCTGAGGAGGGCTTCGGCTGGTATCCAACATTGGCCGTGG